GGGGAAAATAAAATAGTGTGAGGTTAACAGGTTGTTAGGGGAAGAAAAGATGAATTTGTAGCACTATGTACACTGAAATTAATTATAATTATATTATTTCTAAGTATATATTTATAATTAATATTATAATTAATATAATTATACCAATTATAATAATAATTATAATTATGTTAATTACAATTCTATTTTTGCATAAAATAAATCCATACAATTTATGAATAAAGCATATATCAATTTATTTACGATCCTGGAATGAAAAAGACCTTTCCAAGAATACCAAGGCAGAAACTGGATAAATTGAATCACACAAAATTTATTTTCTCTTTGACCAAAAATAAATCGATAAAGCCTAAAAATCATTGACAAATTGGAGAAAGATGTTTTCAGTACAGGAAAGCAAACAACTAATATCCTTAATGTACACAAAGTTTTATACAGGTAGACAAAGCAACAAATGATAAACTCAAATAACAAATGCAAAATGTCAATACACTTCTGTTCCTTATCAATTACACGGTCTGGTCGGGCGAGGTGGCTCATGCCTGTAATCCCAGCACTCCGAGAGGCCGAGGTGGGTAGATCACTTGAAATCAGCCTGGCCAACACAGTGAAACCCCGTCTCTACTAAAAATACAAAAATTAGCCAGGCATGGTGGCTCACACCTGTAGTCAGTCCCAGCTATTCAGGAGGCTGAGGCAGGAGACCTGCTTAAGTCGAGGAGGCAGAGTTTGCAGTGAACTAAGATCGCACCACTGCCTTCCAGCCTGGGAGATGGAGTGAGACCGTCTCAACAACAAAAAAATAAAAATGAAAAAAATAAATTACACCATCTAAGGTATTCCATTACAGCAGCACAAAACAGGCTAAAAGAGTCACAATCTGTGATCACCTTGTTTTTATTGACAGGTCCCTTATTAAAATATAAGTTGTATTAATAGCTGGCACCTAACAGGCACTTAACTAATGTTTATTAATGTTAAACGAGAGGATTCCGGAAGAGTAGTTTGAAGCTAGACTATTAGGGATCTTGAAATGCCATATTTAAGAGTTTGCACTTCATTCTAAAGGCATTGGTTACAGTCATCAAAGAAGATATCTGCTCTGGAAAAATAACTGTAATGGTGGTTGGTGATGAATTTTAAAGGGAGAGCCAGTTAAAAGGTTACTATGGGCCGGGCACAGTGGCTCACGCCTGTAATCCCAGCACTTTGGGAGGCCGAGGCGGGTGGATCACAAGGTCAAGAGATCGAGACCATCCTGGTCGACATGGTGAAACCCCGTCTCTACTAAAAAAAAATACAAGAAATTAGCTGGGCACGGTGATGCGTGCCTGTAATCCCAGCTACTCAGGAGGCTGAGGCAGGAGAATTGCCTGAACCCAGGAGGCAGAGGTTGCGGTGAGCCGAGATCGCACCATTGCACTCCAGCCTGGGTAACAGGAGCGAAACTCCGTCTCAAAAAAAAAGAAAAAAAAAAAGGTTACTGTGGCCAGGCATGGTGGCCTATGTCTGTTATCCCAGCACTTTGGGAGGCTGAGGCAGGCAGATTGCTTAAGCCCAGGAGTTAGAGACCAGCCTGCCCAACATGGTAAGACCCAATCTCTACAAAAATTAAAATTACAAAAATTACCCAAATGTGGTGGCACCTACCAATAGTCCCAGCTACTCAGGGAGCTGACCCTGGAGGATTGCTTCAGCCTGGGAAGTCAAAGCTTCAGTGAGCCATGATCCCATCCCTCCACTCCAACCTGGGCAACACAGCAAGACCCTGTCTCAAAAAAAAAAAAATTCTGATAAATGCTGAGGTCAGAGGAGACTTAAGCCAGAACTAGGGCAAAGGGACTAGAAGAGAAACTCTTTTGAGGTGCCATCAACACAAATTGGTACTAACTACAACCTCTATTTATTAAGTGCCTATAGTAGGCCCAAACTCCATACTATCTTCACAACAGCCAACCAAGATTGGTGTTAGTATACCGATTCTGCAACTAAAAAGGCAAAACAAGTTGCAGAGAACTTAGATAATTTCCCACAAAGTCACACAACTAGATAAATGGCTCTTCTGGATTCTACTGCAGGGCTGTCTCATACCCAAGTCCAAGCAACGAAGGAAAAGGAGTGATGCTAAGTTTCCAGCTAATGTAATTACTTAGATTATTTCCTTTGCTGAAATATGTAAAGATTTATTGGAATGGTAATGAATGTGGCTTTGGACATGCCATGTATGAAAATCCTATAATACAGTAGGTATTGCTGCATGAAACAGAAACTGACTCTGGCTTTCTTGCTGAATAGGATAATTCTTGGAAGGCTATCAGGGCTCACATCATCACAGTTAGGCTGGAGGTACCAGCTTCATAAAAAGGCCAAGGATAGGGAGAGTTTACAAGGCAAATGGTGACTTTTGAGAGAGAAGCCTGAGATGACATTTGGAAGCAGAAGCCAGATTGTAAATGGTGAAAGAATTAATGGTGAGTGAAGTTCAGAGTATTTTCTGAGCCAGTGTTCCACATCCATAATTTATATTGTTGTAATGGCACTTGCAAAATATATTAACCTGAGACAAAAGGGCAGGACTTGTGTGTAGCACTTTGTCCTCACTTCACTTGAACTTTACAATAACTTTGTGAGAAAGGTCTTATTCCCATTTAGAAAGATGGAGGAAAATGATATCCAATATCCAATGTCGGAGAGGACTGTAACTCTTCTTAGAGTGCATCTTGTTGATAGATATCAAAAGACTTTTAAAAGGTATGTATGTTCTGACCTAGATATTCCTCTGCAAAAGAATTCAGTGAAAAAAACTTATAAGCATGTACACACATTTATCTACAAGGTTGTACACTGCAATAGGAAAGAACTAAAAGCAAGCTAACTACAACAACAGAGGATTGGTATGTCCATGCTATGAAAAGACATGGAATCACTGCCAAATAATGTTGCAGCACGATCCATTCAAGAGATGAAAAGCATCCTACGTAAAAAGAATACAGAGTGGATGACAGGAGCTTTCTAGTCCACAACATATTTAGGTTCCCGGTTGCAAATCAATAAAGTGACATTCTGGTTTATGTCTCAAAAAAAGAAAAAAAACAAAAAGCAAAAAAATGGTTTACATTTTGTAAAGTGAACAGAGCAGACTACAAAATAGAATATACAGTATGATTCCATTCTGTGTAATTTTTTTGTGTGGGTTTTTTCTGTACTTCCAAAAATTCTACTGTAAAGAAATACTGCTTTGTAATGAGATTTTTAAAAGAAAGTCTTGAGTGGTTAAATACTTGTCTGTGGTCAGAGATAACTGGCAAAGGAGAGGCCAGAATTATTTTTATTTTTATTTTTTGAGATTGTTGTCTCCTGTGTAAAATGAGGGTGCAAGGTGCATCCCCTCTCCTGATTTTTGAATCATCCCTCTACCACCTCAGACTGCCTTTTCTCACGTAGAATAGCCAGCAAGTGGAGAAACTTACCTCAATAATGCAAAAATCCCTACTTCCTTTCAATGTTCAAGCAAAACAAAGCCCTCTCCACATTCAACATGACAGAAACCCTAAATGATAAGGTCTTCTTGTATTTAAGAAGACAGTATGAGAATGGTTGGAAATGGCTGAAACAGAAGATTTTATGAGCTGTCAAAGTACTTCTAGACGTGTAGATATGACAACCCAATAAAAAGGAACACACACACACAACCCAGCGCCTTCAAAAATCTAGATTTCTGCCTTTCCACACCTTAACTTGGAATCATTCGGGTCGGTTCCCAAGCACTTTCTCTTGGAGGTGAGAAATCCTCCAAAGACACTAGGGGAGGCCCAGGTGTGGCAACCTTCGGTAGGATGAGGGATGAGCAAAGGAAAGGTGGCGAGGGGCGCACTTAAGACGCGCGGAAACCGGAAACGTGACTTTTGCAGTCAGCTTCTTCGGATTTTCCAGCACTTAGAAGCAAGTTCTACACCTCCAGCACCACTGTTTCTACAGGTCTCACCCAAGACCCCCACCCTTACGCCACCCGGCCTCGAGCCCCGCCCCGGACGCTGGACCCGAGTGCGTAACTGGAGCACGTGTTCACATCAAAAGTCTGGGTCGCAAAGGCAGAGACCCCAGGTCTCGCAGAAAAAACTCCACGAACTATTGAGAGACTCCCTTTAAAAAAAAAACAAACAAATCTCGGCCGGGCGCGGTGGCTCAAGCTTGTAATCCTAGCACTTTGGGAGGCCGAGGCTGGTGGATCACGAGGTCAAGAGATCGAGACCATCCTGGTCAACATGGTGAAACCCCGTCGCTACTAAAAATACAAAAAATTAGCTGGGCGTGGTGGCGCGTGCCTGTAATCCCAGCTACTCAGGAGGCTGAGGCAGGAGAATTGCCTGAACCCAGGAGGCGGAGGTTGCGGTGAGCGGAGATCGCAACATTGCACTCCAGGCTGGGTAACAAGAGCAAAACTCCGTCTCAAAAAAAAAAAAAAAAACAAATCTCCAGGACCACGCGAGTCGGCGCACGGGGGGCGTGCGTGCGGTCCACCAAGCGGGCAGAGCTCGGTACCAACTCTCGGCAAAACTAACAATATTTGTTAGGCCCCAAACTCACAGGCCCTAACAGCACTAACCGCATTCACTTCGGGAGTGTTGCAACCTGGGACAGCGAGCGCCTCACTCGCCGCACCTACGTGCCTCAGGAACACACTGATTGGGGCGCGGCTAGTTCCGCGCACGCGCTGTGCATGCCCGTGCTTTGCCCTTACCGCAGAGCGTCTAAAACCAAGCTACGGTGACTCTGCTGGGAATAAATTATTAAATTTCACTGTTCTGCAAACCCAACCCGGGAAGTATGACCTGGCTGGCACAATTTAGGAAGACAGCCACGAAGACACTTGGGGGAGTAGATATACGTATTTGGGAATGGAAGGGGTGAAGTCTGGCCCATGAGCAGGAAGAAAATTCAGCCTCCACCTCCCAACCAGTAGCCCCGAGTCGGCAGCCTAGAGAGTGCGCCCCAGCGCTGGGAGCCCCGCCTTGGAGGCGTGGTTACGCATTGGCCTTCTGGGGCGGGTCCTGCTTCTGGCCCGCCCTGGCCCCGCCTAGCCCCGCTCCAGGCGAGGGCGCCGCACCCACACTGCACTGCACAGTTTTGCTCTGCACCAGCCGTTCGTAGGTGATCTAGGTGAGTACTAGCACCTGCGGGCAGCAGTGATTACCGGGCCACCGGGTGCACTTCAGCCTCTGTGCAGGTTACTCCCATATTTCAGCCTCTCCGAGCTGAATAGAGACTCGCTGTCTGTAACCTCCCTCAACCCTTTTCAGTAGATTAGAGCTCTGAATTTCCATCCCCTCTGCTCTGAGCTCTTGCCCTGTATCTTCTCCCTGGTGGAGTGGGTTGGGAGCGTCTAAGCGAGGCCCTGCCTCTTTATCTGTAACTCAGGAAAATTCTCAAGGTCAACACTTCCTCAATTCCTTTCTTTCCTCTCCTGCTCTCCCCCGGCTGTGCAGTCTGGGGCTCCCTCTTTCTGCCTTCCCGAGACCACCTGCCCTCTTGCCCTCTGCTGCTCCGGCGCAGAAGATGAGCGAGCGAGACCCTGCAGTGGGAGTGGTTGTGCAGGCCTGAGCAGTAACACTGGTTTCCGAAGTGGCCTGTGAGCGCTGCGCCCTCTGCGGATGTGGATGTGTTGCTAGGGACTGTCGAGAGAGCCTCGGAGGAAATCGTGTTTGTTTTCCTTTGCTTCTTAGAAACGTTTGTCCATTTGTATTGGAAAGGGGGTCATTTCCTAACACTGCCTTAGAGCGGGAGACACCTCTGGGAGGGTGGGGGAACTCCAGGTTCTTCCTTCGATTTCAGAAAATGCCCCTCCTTATCTGGGGTACCAGCACGGAGCCCCAGGGCTACAGTAGTGGGGCAGCTGCAGGGCGGTGGAAGGCGCTGGAGACTCCTTAGTGAGTCATTCCCCGAAGTTGTGGCTTCTGCTGATACTTTCCTTGAGAGTCACGAGTTTACGAGCTCCATTGTGGCGTCGGGGACAAGTGAGTGTGGGAAAGGAGGAAAAGCAGAGATGAGGATGGGTAGAAAGAGAGGCAGGGGTTAGAACTTTAATTCCTTCACTGGGGACAAGAGGTGCCCTGAAGAGGAAGGCACTTCCGGCTCTGAAGATGTGTGCTGTGGGCCTAGGTGTGGTCCTGCGGAATTGCTGCAGATTTTAGCTTCCTCGTGGGTGGGAGCTGCAGCCAGGGCTTCTCTTGGGAAATGTATAGATCACCTGGAGCCTGCAGTTCTGGGAGGCACCCAAGGTTATTGGTCAGAGTTACGGGCTATATTTTATTTCAGTGGATTCTGACAGCACATTGAATCAGATCAAGAATGTTTATTCTCATAGATGAATTTAAGGAGTTAAAACTAATATATAAAATCAAAACAAATATTTTCATCCCTGCGAAGACTTTCCGTTAAGCTTCCCTCAAGCTTCCCTCCTGACATAATGTTACGGAAATAGAAAACTTTGTCAAGTGATTTTTTTTTAACCAATGTTACTATATATAAATCGGCAGAGAGACTGTCGCTAACCATAGAAACTGCGCTACAGGGGCCTCCTTAGATTAAGAAACAGAACTGAAGACGGGCAGCCGTCCCCTTTATTTAGACTTCCTCCTGTTGGCTTAGGGTTCTGAAAAGACGCAATCCTGGAAGAGAATCTCCTCGCCTGGAGGTTAGCACCGAGAAGAAACATACAGGAAAGAAGGGCTTTATCCACTATTCAGAGACACGCTGGAAAGCCCAGGAGCAGTCTGGAATGAGATGGATGTCAAATCAATCTGTCAAAAGCAATTTAGTGCCTACTTCACATCTATCTGTATTTCAACATATTCATGTGCCTTATGTCCATGCTTAAATCTTCTGAATCTATATTTGGAACACCATTACCGACCACAATTGACGATGAACCATTTATCACTTTAAAGCAATATTTGTTTAGAAGAATATACTGCTACTTTTTTTTTTTTTTTGCTTCCCAATTTATTAATGCTACTATGAGCATATCATCTTGCTGAACAAAAAGAATTTAGCAGTTAGCAGCAGGTAAATTATTGCTATATATAATACAATTCCTGACTGAGTTTCCTTCATTCTCTCTTACAGTACTTACCTACCTACCTGCCTGCCTGTCTTTGAGGAGAAACGCTGTAATGAGGCAGCAGGAAAACTGTACTTTCTTTCACTTGCATTCACAAATGCCTTTAAGGGTTTTATCCTTTAGAATCATAGATCTTGCTGTTACCCTCTGAGTTCTTTCTAGAGTTAATCTGTTCATTAACTGTAACTTGAGTTTTAAGATTTAGTTGCCTTGTTCCACTCTTTAAAAATAAATAAGTGATATTTTATTTTAAAAATAAATAAGCAGTGTGAGCAGTTGTACCACAGCTCATTCTAAGTGTAGACAGGCACGAAAAGGTCAAACCTAGGTGGTTCCTTCCTTTGGAGTGGTTGGTACCCTAACGGATTCAGCAGCTGCTATGAATTAACTACAATCTGCCTGCATTTCTTGTAATAGAAAATTACCAAGTGGTGTCAATGTGACTCATTCGAGATTTTTTTTTCCCTTCTGGAAGTCATAGCTTAGTTTCTCAATGACTCTTGGTTCCTGTGTAATGCCAATTAAGGCACAGCTATATGGGAATCATGATATAGAAATGAAGTGCCAGTTTCTGTGTTACTTTGCTCCTTGCAATCTTATATCCTGAAAGATTGTAGGAAGCTTTTTCTTTCCCGTAGTCATACTGCAGTGCTGACATCATTAAAAGAAAATGTTTCTCCTTTCCCAAATGTTTTTTTTTCTTCTTCCAATTAGAAACATCTTAGACTTTAGTCAGTGGCAAAATTGAAGTTAATTATTTGCTCTCTCTTCTTGTTAATACATTTTGTACTCAGTAGAGGGTCTGGAGAGGTAGAAATGTTTTTGAAGATGTCAGGTGTGGTCAGACTTGCTTTTCAGCCTCATTGAGAGACAACATAGCAAAGGGCTGAGAGCACAAACTGGAGCCGGACTCCCTGGGGGTGTGAGTATCTGGGCTCTGCTCTGTGATCACTGTGTGACCTTGGGCAGATAACCTGCCCTCTGAGGTTGCTGCCTTCAGACCATGGGAAACATCCAGTGGGCTGTCCCTGGGATCACATCTCTTGCAAAGCTCAGCTCCAAAGGGTCTAGCAAAGCTCAGGGCTTCTAGGTTAGGTGTCAGGGGACCTTCTCCCACAGAACCTTCTGTGTCAAGAATCTGGGAAAGTTTGTCCTCACACCTGCAGGGGAAGCTGGGATTTCTTCTGTCTTGTTGTAAGTCTAGTATTCTTAGATTCCTGAAGAACATTATTGCCAGTTATTTCTCAAAGGAGATTTCGGTTCCATTCAGGCCTGTGTGTTTAGTGCCTTATTACACAGAAGGCACACTCCAGAGAAGAAAGCAGGTAATTTGCTTATTTGGCTTTAACAGAGTTTGTATGAGTACAGGCTTGTGCTCTATAACCAAGAACCATTCACTGGAACTTAGCTCCTGCTGATCTTCCCTCCCCTACTCCCAGCCAGTGCAGCCATGTATTAAGCAATTGTTTTCAGTACTAACAATTTACCCGTGTTGGAATAAAAATGACATCTGAACCTTAAATATTTTATATGGTCAAACTATGGCTATTTATACAGCTGAATATATTTGGATTGTAACACATTTATCTCTGTCTTTTTTTTTTTTTTTTTTTTTTTGAGACAAATTCTTGCTCTCAGCTCATTACAACCTCTGCGTCCCGGGTTCAAGCAATTCTCCTGCCTCAGCCTCCCAAGTAGCTGGGACTACAGGCGTGTGACACCAGGCCCAGCTAATTTTTGTATTTTTAGTAGAGACGGCATTTCACCATTTTGGCCAGGATGGTCTTGATCTCTTGACCTTGTGATCTGCCCGCCTCGGCTTCCCAAAGTGCTGGGATTACAGGTGTGAGCCACCACGCCCAGCCAACACATTTACCTCTTAAACGAACAGATCTTCCATTCCTCCTAACGTATAGTTAGCTTCCACTTTTCAAATATTCCACCAGCAACATTGATGCATGTTGAAGACTATGGACTATGAGGTACTGGGAAAGACCCACTCTGTGACCTGCTTGCTGCAGTTTGCCTCACTTCAACCAGTAATCAAGTGCTGGATCAATAATATGATTTCTATTCAACTTTTTGTTTTTAGCCCTTAGGAAACAATCTACTGAATATGCAGTACAATTGTGAAGGGATAGTTACTTTTCATCACCTAGGTTATTATTCCTTCTTTTAAATGTAATCGAAATCTGGCAGTCATGTGAAAGTTTGACACTCAGATTTTAGCATCTGTTTAATGCAGAAGTGGACTGGAACTAGCATTTTGAAAATGTAGTCTGAACCCAAAGAAACCCCATGACTTCCCTTTACTTTCCTATCATAGAAACAGATAATTACATTTTTAAAGATTTTCTGTGTGGGTGTGTGTGTGGTCATTTTGAGGTGGAGTTTCACCATGTTGCCCAGGCTGGTGTCAAACTCCTAGGCTGAATGAAGTAGTCCTCCCACCTCAGCCTCCCAAGTAGCTGGGATTGCAGGCATGCACTACTGCGCCTAGCTTGAGTTTTGTTTCTAGTAGACATATAATATTGGACATGTTCATGAGGTACAGTGTGATGTTTTAGTACATATATACATTGTGCAGTGATCAAAAGGATTGCTTTTTATGGGCTGGGCGTGGTGGCTCATGCCTGTAATCTCAGCACTCTGGGAGGCCAAGGTGGGTGGATCACCTGAATCAGGAGTTCAAGACCAGTTCAGTCAACATGGCAAAAACCCATCTCTTTACACACCTGTAGTCCCAACTACTCGGGAGGCTGAGGCCTAAGAATCACTTGCACCTGGGAGACAGAGGTTGCAGTGAGCTGAGATGGCAACACTGCACTCCAGCCTGAGTGACAGAGTGAGACTCGGTCTCAAAAAATAAAAAGAATTGTTTTTATGTTCCTTCCCTCTAGGATCTTTAATTTCTCCATTGAGCATTGTATGAGCTCCACTGAGCATTATATGGAAGTTCAGCTCCCCTGGCTGGAGATAATTTTGAGGCCTGTTCCTTGGTGGAAACATCTGGATGCAGAAGTGAGGCTGGACAACTATC